GAAAAGGTATACCGTGATCCAACATGCAAACAATTTGGAGGTAAGTGAATGACGATTCACTAATTCTTCGCCATGAAAAACATAACTTTAAGTTTTAAATGTATTGAGAATTCCTATATTTTCTTGGAGATTCATTGAACTTTTCAATGGCATGTTTAACTCTCAATATGCCCCTGTCGTTTGTGACTGGGATACAGAGGATCACAAAGTGGGTGTGAATAACCATGCTAATATACACGGTGCCTTCATTTTTACAATAACCTATTCGATGTGCCAATTAACCACACATGCTCCATCGAATTATGATAAAGAATGAATCACCCTTTGCCACCTTTTCTTAGAACCAATTAGTGTGCCGGTAAACCACACACACTCCACTAACTTCTTAGCAAGGGTGCAAAGTGTAATTTCATGGGATTGCATCAATTCACTTTTGCCTAAAGTAACTAGGATTGGGAACATGTAGTTACTTTATATTTTAACATTATACTTTTAATGAGAAGAGAGAGTTGCCCTATCCTTCCCGTTCGGCTAATGACCCTCCACCAGTCAAACAAGCGGTGGGTGTGAGTGTACACCCATTAAGCGCCATTTTATAGGCAACAACCTTATACCCACCTTATAGACCGCCTTCGTGAATGAGGCATACTAACGGTAAGACTAGCATTTTAATTATACTAATATATATATTCATTAAGCTTTAATAATATAATAGTATAGGCTTGAATTTTAAACTTGTAAAACTCTAGGGGTTGAAATTTAAATTCTTCTAAATTAAACTTTTAATGACAAAATTTAAATCTCAAAACTTCGGGATAAATTTGAACTTTTCAAAACTAGAGGGATCAAATAACAAATAATTCAAATAACTAATTTCATAATTATCTATATTTGACCTAATCCAATTTTAGTCATTAGATAATTACCAAATAATTTTAAATACCCAATATTTATCATATAAATAACCAATATTCAAAAGATTTGAAATTATCTATTGTTATGTCAAGGATAATCAAAAAATTAAGCCAACATTCAGATTTTAACATAGCAAAACGATTAAGGTATCAAATCCAAGACAAAACAACAAAATCCTGAAATATCCTCTGCCAGATGCTTGGACTCGCCGAGTCAGCTTTGGACTCACCGAGTAGGTCCAACTCGCCGAGTCCAGACACTAACTCGCCGAGTTGGGTCGGACAGAGGCCAAGAAAAACATTTTTCAACAAGCAAAACAGTTAAGCATCATATTCAATTGAAACCAATCAAGGCTCTGATACCACTGATGGGTTTGAGCCATAAGAACTTTCCTATGTGCATATGCAAACCCTATTGATTGTATCTAGGTTTCTCTAATTGAACATGCTTTGTATCCAAGACTTTGAATCATAGATCTAGTGTAAACAAACAATTTGTAACATATGAAATCAGATTTAGAATAATACCTTGAGTTACTTGCTTCAAAACTTCTTTTCCTTGGAGCTTAGAGGCACAATTGTCACTCCTCTAATGGCTTACAAACACCTACTAGCAAGAAGATGATATGAGAGAGGGAGAGTGGTGAGAAATCGGCTCTAGGGTTTCCTCAAAGCAAAGAGTGACCGATTTATCCTTCCCTAAGGGTCTATTTATACTATGAGCTCCTAGGGATTTAACTTAAACCCTAATTGGATAACTTAGCCACAAAGCAATCCAAATATCCCTCTAGATAGGGCCTTGGACGATTTCTAGGATATCCATATCCTTAAAATCGTCCCTTCCCATATCCATAAGGATTCATAGCCTAAAACACAACTATCACACATTTGACAGTTTATGCCCCTTTATTTAATTAATCTCTTTAAGTCACCAAATTAATTCCTAATTAATTTATGACTTATATCAATCAAATAATATTATTATTCCTTTAACATATTATTCTTATAATACATTAATAATAATATTTCTCCTCTCTATATAAATCACCTTGTCAAGTTGCTATGGTGAAGGCAACCCAAAAGGACCATGCACAACTGGGTCAAGTAATTACCAAATATAGTTACAACCTTAGACACTAATCCAACAATTATAAGTCTGTTGGTGTTTCCACGGGGTCATCTAGAATAGTCCGTGGTCGCCATCTATACTCTTGTAGATGACTACATCGCCAAATTGCCACATCGTCGGTCAAGGATATGGTATCTCCTTTCATCTCACATCACCTATTTATCATCACCTATCTATCATCACCTAATTATCATCACCTTTCTATCATCACCTATCTCTCATCACCTAATTATCATCACCTATTTCTCATCACCTACTTATCATCACCTATTTCTCATCACCTAATTATCATCACACCTCATCTAATTCATCTACCGATGTTTTACCCAACATATTTGTAGATATAAAATACATGTACAAATTAACTCATTTAACACCTATATAAAACATCCATTCCACACTCATCTCAACACTACGGCTCTAAGAGTAATATTCTTCAGTGAAACCGGGATCACTTCACACACCGATTTTCTCGCGGATAGAGCTTCGGCTCGGAAACTCTTTTCTTCTCGGGATCTTCGGGCTTTGGGACTTGCTTTGGGTCTCGGGGTTGATACCGGGGCTTCAGGGGTATTTATTTGCACGTAAATCGATGCAATACATGTGAGAGATGAGAGAATGAGCAACCAAACTCAGCTAGCCCTTCAAATCTATTTATAGGGCAAAATTTGCCCTTGCCACATCGTGGCACTTTTTCCCACGTTGTGGGCTTGGTCATCACTACATGCGTCATCGCAAGTTGCGTCTGGGGAAATCCAGGAGGTGTCAGAAGACTTGTCACGTCATGGTATCTGACAGTTTTGGGGCTTCGCGCCCCGAACTTCAGAAATTCATAACTTTCGTATACGAACTCCGTTTTCAATGTTCTTTATATCGATGCGTACGTGAGATTATGATCTACAACTCTCTTTTAGACTCTGTTGGCTAGTTTTGAATTTATTTATAATATATTATAAATATATTACTTATATATTATTTTCCGTAGGCCGAGACAGGAAAACTCCGTTATAAATTCATAACTTCTTCATCGGACGTCCGTTTTTGCCTATCTTTTTATCGTTTCACTACTATTAATGATATCTTCGATTCTCATTTAGATTGTTTCGGCTAAAAACCCCTCGATCTCAAATCGAGTATTCGGGCTGCATACTGCTAAGTCGAAACTTCAGAAAATCATAACTTCCTCATACGAAGTCAGATTTGGACATTCATTTTACGTATGCTCTCAGTTGAACGAACTCTTCAACTTTGGTTTAGATTACTAAGGCTAGAAATCGTTCTTTCTTAAATTCGTATTTTACGTCATTCGGCGTCGTGCCGGTTCTGTCATAAAACTTCGACAGATCATAACTTCTTCGTTATAACCCGGATTTTGGAATTCTTTATATGTACGAAATCCTTGTAACATATACTATAACTTAGTTAATATTACTCATTCTAAATAATCTTTCATCAAAAAGTCATTTTTGACACTTATCGTCTCTAAATTGACTAGCCCGGATCTACGGGTTTTATATATATATATATATATATATATATATATATATATATATATATATATATATATATATACAAACACTTTGTTTCTTTAAGGAACAATTCTATTTTCTTATTGGTTCACTGTTTATTTTTTTTGTTTAATATATCTAAGGCCGGACGAAATGGAGCTGCGGGGAGGGGTGCGGGAAGTTTCCCGAATGCGAAGCGCGGGAAGGGGGTAGGGGGTGGGGATGCCACGTTCTCACTCTTTACCTTATTCGCCCGTTATTTATTTATTTTTTTTGAATCAAACGACTATATTGACGTTAGTATACATATTTGTTTTTTTTTTCTTTTTTTTTTTTTAACTATATATACCACACCATCCAATCATTTTTTTAACTCATACCTTATACTTCTCTTCAAAAAATATTATTCAAAATGTTATCATCTTCATCATCCGATTTGGCAGCTCTAGAGGAGGCTACGTTTATCGGTTCCGTCATGATGATAACGGTTGCATACTATCAAAACCGACTAGGCGAAACATCATGTGCACGATATAAACCGAGAAATCCGCGGTTGCGTAGATATCACGAAGCCAGACACGATCGTATTATAGAAGATTACTTTGTAGATGACACCATCTACGCTGTGAAGTTTCGACGTCTTACGTATTGCTGGCGATTTGGAAGGCTGCTTTCCATATTTCCAATGGAAAATGGATGCGAGGCGGATAAAAGGTTTCTCTCTCATTCAAAAATGCACGACTGCAATTTGTCAGTTAGCATATGGCATGAGCGCACAGAAATGAGACAAGTATTTTAGGATGTCAGAGCGTACCGTGTGGGAGTGTGTGTACAAGTTCTGTAAAGCGATTTGTTTTGTTTACAGGCAATGATATTTGCACAAACCTACTATCAACGATACTCACCAATTGTACACGGTGCATGAAGGCAAGCATGGATTCCCTGGAATGCTTCATAGTATCGAATGCATGCATTCGGGTTGGTCCTTATGCCCCAACACATGGTGTGGTCAGTACATGAGAGGCAACCACAAAGAGCCGGCGATCGTTCTAGATGCTATTGAATTACATGATCTTTGGATATGGTATGCATTGTCCAGCTGGTGAAAACAATGACATCAATGTGCTAGATCAGTCGCCGATATCCAACAATATCTACATTGGAAAATCGCACGATGTTCCTTTTCAAGCAAATGGGGTAGCATATAAGTGTAGCTACTGTCTTATTGATGGTATATATCCTCCTTTGTCTGTTTTTGTGAAATCGTTTACATGTCCTAATGACTCGAAAAGGAAAAAGTTTAAAGAGGCGTAAGAGTTAGCTAGGAAGGATGTGGAGCGAACATTTGGTGTACTTAAGAGACATTAGCAAGTACTAGCAATGGGTGCAAGGTCATATGAAGTGAAAATGTTAGAACACGTAATGCATGTATGTACGATATTGCATAATATGATTCTTAAAAACAAAGGAAGAGCGATATGTCGGTACAACGAAAATGAAGTTTTGCCAAATGTCGAAGGAGTAGTCGGTAAACAAAAGTATAGGACGGATAGAAGAGAAATACTCAATCGCGACATTCATCACGCACTTCATGCTGATTTGATGGAACACATTTATAGGACTTATATTCAACCATCGATAGAGTTTTCTCGCGATGATTTGTTTGATGAATCAGACGAGGATTCTCATATGTTCTTCAACAACGAAGATTTCGATGACGAGAATGATGTTCGCGAGACTGAGGAAGAAGATGAGGTTGATGACGAGGATGATGATTCTGAGTGACGTATTTTGATTTTTATTGTTGCGTTTTTTTTTTAATTTTATACTTAGGTAAATATTAGGTATAATGTAATTTTTATTTTAATTAATGAAATGCTTTTTATTTTTAATTAAAGTTTATGTTTAGTATTAATTTAAAAATAATAAATCATAAAAGAAATTAATTTTATTTTAAAAAAATAGTGAGGTAAGCCATTCCCACCATTTCCTCGGGTTTTAGATGAAGGAAAAAAAGTGAGAGAAATGATGGTATAACCCACAAAAAATAAGGGAAGCTTCCCTCCCACTCCCTCCGGTATAAGACGTTTATAAGACTAGAGGGTATGGGAGGGATGTTTCCCTCACTTTTTGTGGGTCATACCATCATTTACCTAACTTTTCTTTTCGTCACATAAAACCCAAAGAATGGATGGGAAACTCCCCTCACTATTTTATTTTTTTTAAATATATTTCATACATATATTATATTCATTTTGTAGGGAATTAAAAACCATGAATTTTGATATATATATATATATATATATATATATATATATATATATATATATATATATATATATATATTATATTTTTTTAGTAGGTATATAATTTTATAAATATTAAAAAAGATTTAAAAAACCTACCCATGAAGGATGGTGTTCGAATTCCCTCTCTCCTTTCCCGCTTCCATTCCATCTTGCCTAACTTCACGTTAATTCCAACCGGCAACATGTCCTCCATTTATATACACTCCCTCTAAGCTCCAATAACATTGCTCCAGGTATTTTCATCACCGCCTATATTTCTTTCATGTATTCCGTTTCTCATTCTTTTTGGAAACCTTCGATTGCTTCTCACATTCTTCCATTTGTTTCTTCTGCATATCAATTCACCATCATTGCTTCCACATTTTTTTTTATCTAATCACCACCAATTTCTGCTGCATATCAATTCACCGTCATTGCTTCAGGACAACATTTCCGATTTTCATTGCGGTAGATTTAAACTTGCCGTTGAATCTAATTTGTATCGTTCTTAAGAGAGTTTTTCTTTGTGCATGTGTGTCTTTCTATCTATGCTCACCACATGTTTGCTGGAACGCCCAACTAAACGAAATAGCCAAAAAAAACTAATTTTTTTCTCAAAATTTTGTGGGTTTATCTGGAATAAATAGAATATACCGATTTTTCCATTGAACTTCACAATAAAGCATCTATTTAATCCAATGTCTTTCTTTGTAAATAAGTTGCTTCTAGCCCCATGGTTGAAGCACATTGTTTTATTGAACTATGCTTCCTAATCGACTTAAAGAATGAAAAAAAAGTACATATCTTGCTGAAATTCTTTATTAACATTTGTATATACTCATGACAAGCTTATGATCTTTATTTGTTGCTATTGTAACAATTTTTTGCCTAATAAACATGTCAAATTCTCGACATCAACCTAGAATTCAGGTACCATTTCAAAAAGTACCCTCTGGATATTCATCTTCAACTAAAACATATTTGAAGTTTTTATAGCTTAACATAAGTATAATGTCACACCCCAAAACCACGAACGACGGAAACGTTCAGGGGTGGAGGACGTCATGTACATTATCACAACAGTGTAAAATAGTAAATAAGTAACAACATCATCCATTGCATTATAAGTAAAGTTTTAATACATGTGTGTTCTTTCATTGTAACTAGATGGGGAACCCCCGCGTTGCGGGGGTCGGATGCTACAGTTTTTTCCGTTGTCGGATGCTAAAGTTTTTTCCATTGTCGAATGCTACAGTTTTTTCCGTTGTTTGTTCTTTGTAAATGTTATTTGATCAGCTATTTGTTTATTTGATCAATCAGGTGGTCAATAATTAGATTCAACATTAGGGTTTAACCCTCCCCATCTAGTTAAATAGTGCACTCTGCATAGACCCTTTGATACTTATACATGTAGAAACAGTAAGGACATGCTGTCCAAAATGTAGGTGAGTCATCCACATTCTCGGCTTCTGCTTCTGCTTCTGTTTCTGTTTCCACCAGTTGCAGGGTGATATTGAAGAGACATAAGCTACATTATTTCCTTCTGATGTCAATGTGCACCTTGTATTCCATGTTTGTTTATCCTTCATTATGTCATCAAATCTATCAACAAACAAAAAACAAATACACATCAGGTAATGTTAAGAAATAAATGATGAAAATAGTTGAACGGGTAAAAAAGTAAACATGTTATAATTATCAATATTTTTTTAATAATAACATCAACTTTCAGTCCTTATTTCGTGATTATGCTTTTGAGAAGCTTCATTGTGGTCAATCACATAAGATTGAATATTTAAAAAGTTTAAGCACTAAAGACTTGGTAAAAGTTTACGGCTATAATTTAGGATAAAATATTGAAAATTCGTCCTCAATTATTTTGTATTTATTAAATATATAACTTTTTCTACATTTGGTATTGAAGGTGGTAGAGATTGTGATACCAGAGCTTGACCAGATGCAAACGGCTCATGTTATTTTGATTGTTGCTGAAGCAGCAACCTCATTAACACTTCCAAAGGAAAACCTACTAATTTGTTGTTGTTTCAGTCTATTGTTGACATGGCTAAGGAATTCCATTACCTATTATAATCAACAAAAATGGACAAATTTTCACAGGTATGTCAATAAGCTGGTGCATATTTGAAATACCATTCAAGCATTTTACCAAACACCCACATAATAGTTCAATCAAGGTCGTCATTTTAAAAAAAAATCTGCAAAATTGTTATAACAAACATCACATAGACAAATCACACAACTAAAATTAATAACACAAAAAAGTAGCAAATGGAAAAAATAGAAGTTTTTTTTTAAATAGATAGGTGTTGGGGCTTGACGAAGGAGTTGGTGTTACCTTGCATCGTTAGATGTATTTCATCTTCATTTGACAAAAATAGCCTTATAACAGCCTGGTAAGCTCCATCTGAGTCACCTTATGAAAGACAGTAAATGAGGAATTTGAATTATACATCAAACCCAAAACTTGAATAAGGGCAAAAGACATCATATTTATATGAATCCTATGTTAAGAGACTATAGATACCTTTAACCACCGTCTATTTTTTGTAATTGATATATTCTTTTTTTGAAACCCATTAAAATTCTTTAAATCCTACAAATCATGAATTTTATAGCAGATAGATTTAAATGAAAAGAACACAATAAGACAGATGATAAAACTGAGTCTGTCTCATGGAGGTGATAGCGATGGACATGGTGAACTGTAAAATTCTCTATAACTGGTATCCAAGTACACCTATGACCTGGAAAGAAAAGTAAATGAACACATCAGGTTCCATAATATACAACAGAAATTACAGAGGCTATTAAGAAAAGCATTTAAAAATAGGCTCACCTGAGTATGTTGTATCTTTGAATACCAATAAACTGCGTGGCATCAGTGCAATAGAGAAAGGAAGGTAGTTTTGTAAATTCCCATGACTGGTTTCTTGAATGTTGCTTGTAGAGTTGTAGTGTCTGCTAAAGTTGAATGAGGAGTGAAGTCCATGACAACAGGTGATCCTAATGAAAGAATAGCCACCACCGGAAAATATGTGGGCCCATCTTGGTGGGGTTATGTTTTCACCCAAAAAAATTGTTAATAAATGGGAAAGTAAAAAAGGGTAAGTGCAAAATACTAATTTTTATCGATTTAGTCGCAGTACAAACCATTATGCCTTGATTTGGAAGATACTCATTGATGAGGACATGATTGATTACAGAAGGAAACAAACACAACTCCTCCTTGATTTTTTCTATAATTTTTGTCAACAATGGTGGTACTACACAGAGAAAAGAGAGAGAGAGATATGAACTATGATTACTCGTTAACTTGATCTTATTAAATCAAATGAAATCGTTACATATAAAATTCAATACTTAAGTTTTATGACAATAAGGTATAGTATATCTTAATCCCGAAATGAGACTGATAAGAGAGAAGGATTAGGGCTTACAATCTTGAGGCAAAGGACCTTTTTCATGGACAATCCCTCCTGTAACAAACATCACACAAAAACAAAAGAAAAATCCCATCAATACCAACATATATTTTAACCTCCAAATTGATAAGTTCGTAGATAACAACAATGCCATACCCTAATTTTGCAATCTCCTGTTTTTCAGAGACTTCCATTTTGAAACCAGAGCTGTGTAAATCTATAAAATCAAAATATAAAACCTCGTTTCAATTTGAGAATAAGAGTTAACCAACTACACCACTGTTCTCAATTTCGATGTGAGAAATCACACTGTTGTCGAATACCCCAAAGAACAACAAAAAGGAGAGAAGATAGCAAACAAAAGATGTGTTATTAGATTACATACCTGATTTAGGAGTAGTTTTTGATCGGAATCGGGGATGAAGTCGGGTATGTAGTACAACGTCGGAACTGAGCCGACTTTGAACTTGTTCAAATGATCTTTCGATTCCATTTCCCTCTGTTTACAAATCGATCGGAAATTCAGAACCTTCATGATATGATGCTAGGAAATGAAGAGGAGAAAGAAAGGTAGTTAAGAACAGTGATACCTAATTGGAAGGTGATGTCGGTGATCCGAACAGTTTTAGCCGGACCCAAATAATTGGCATCCCATGAAGACGATGATTTTTTACAGAGAAATAGTGAAGAAAATGGTGATGCTGAAGGGCACCTGCAGATTCAAGAAGGACACCTGGGTTCAAGATAGTAGAACAACGAATCAGTTTACCAGGGGTTTATAAATAAAAGTGTTGAAAAAGAAGTCGAGAGAAAGCCGATTTGTAGATTTGGTATAACGATCAGAGCTCTTTGAAGAACTTCAAACCTTTCTATTAAGTTTGAGCAGTGGTTTCATCTTCTAAGAAAACGAAAGCAGAAAAAATTTGCAGACATACGAACCTGTAACCATGGGGTACGAACGTCACCGGGCCAAGGCTTCACATGGAGTTGATGACATACGACGGAGAGAGGGGTAGGATTCGTTACCCGGGTTCCTCTTCAAAAGCCCTAAAACAGAACACGTATAAACCGGAGACGATTGAGGGGTCACCTGGCTTATGATGGTGGTTGAGTGCCGATTGAGGGGTCAATCGGAGACGATCGAGGGGTCACCGTTCATATAAAGGAGGAAGGCGAAAATAATCGGTCCGATAAAGAAGAAGGTGAAAGAAAGATTACTGGATAAATCCGCTTACATCGATGGGGGTTGGGCGATCGTTAAGCTGACACGTATATGTACGCGTAGTCAAGCAAATAGTGATGAAGCAAAAAAACCCACTGACAATATAATCAATGACATAAAATGACCCAATGCAGAAAATAGACATAATTGAACCCACATCATCCCTCCCAAAATAAAGGTTCCAACAAAAAACTAGTTACAATAATACAGGGACCATTATTGCGGAAAATACAACAGTGCGGTGGCCCTACAAAATGGCACAAAATGCCCCCTAAAAGAAAGCAAACACAATTACAATCTCATCCATAATCAGAGGACCAAAAATGTCAAATAAGTTGCTTGGATATAAGAACAAATACCCGAGGGTCATTTTTGCCAAAAAGGACACATCTTCACTATTCCTAAAAACTAACCTCCTTTAATATATATATATATATATATATATATATATATATATATATATATATATATATATATATATATATATAAGAATATGACACCAAAAATATATAATCAAAATAAAAGACGAGTCTTGTCTGCTCCATCTTCTCAAAACCTGGCCACCGTACTTGTTTACTAATGACCTGAGAATACAAGTTATTTTGAAAGAGATTATCATCTTTACAGCTGGTGAATTCATAAGTATTTGTGTCATTGACTTGCTTTGAAAAGCTGTTTTAAAAGTCATGTAAACCTTTTAATGAAAATATTGATATAAGTATGAAAAACCCTAGAAAATCCCTATTTTCTATTATTATGAAATGTAGTCTTCAAACAAGACCTGAATGTTTTGTAAGTAAAATGATAGTTTTTCCTTCTATTAACTAGTAATAAAGTACTTAGTCTAACTCATCGTTTATGTGAAAGTATCACAAAATAAGGTAAACAGGAAAATGTACTAATGTAAGTGTTGTCACTGGGTACTAGGAGTAACACAACATCACACTAAGCGAAAAGTATAACCTAATGAAAATCCAAAGATTGTCCACTTGTCCTCTGTAGCAGCAGCAGATGGGTGGAAGGGTTAGTCCCGATATCGATCTACCTAATATAAATAGTAACCTAATGATCATCCGAATATTTTCATCTCATCCTCTGTTGCAACAGCAGGATGGAGGAATGGTTAGTTCCGATATCAATCTACCTAGTATATGTAGTAACCTAAGACCTCCGTAGATGGTCATCGACCACTGGTGCTAATCAGTGGGATTCGTAATAGTTAGTCCCGCCTAGATATCCCATTGAACCGGGATAGGAAAGATAATTTACACAGAAAGTACTAATAAATCGTCTTCGCGAGTCAAGATACGAGTATCCAGGTAAGTGAATACAGGATAATACATCTATGTAATAGTGTTCATGTATGGTATTCATGTAAGTGTGTTCATGTATCAGGTAAGTATATGTAAACATGTTCATGTATCAGGTAAGCATATGTATATGTACTCATGTATCAAGTAATGTACTGGTGTAGACTCATGAATGAACTGACTCTTGTGTGATTCCTTGTAATAGGAATAATGTTTGATATCTTCAAATTATCCCTATGATAATTTACTGAAGGGTAGTTGGTTGTTCAAGAAGGTAAACGTAATGGTTTTGCAAGGTATCTAAGAGTTTTGAATAATAATTAAGAGTGACTTGATGTCATGTTAACAAACATTTCAAAACTAATACTTTTGTTATCATGGTATTTTAAGATAGAAAACCATTTCATGTGTCACCTTTTGAAGTATGTGAAATCTACTGAGTAAAAACACAGTTATAAAATACATAAGATTGATTTAATAACATACTGTTTTCTACTTGTATTCCCCCCCTCTCTATTAAAGCATTTAAAATCATTTAAAACATTGATTAAGGGGTATGAACTCACCTGTAGATGGTGGTTTGGATGAACTGGACGGTATAGGATTGTTAGGTGTCAAGTGAGGACTTGTACACACACTACGATCCTAATGAACATATAATCACACATATATGCACTCAATTAGTCTTAAATTACTAATTGATAATGTTAAGACATCCTAGAACATAATAAACACTTTATATAAGTGTTATAAGCCCTAAGGATTGCATCTAAGCTATTGTGGGACAAGACACTTGGGTTTACTCTCCAAATAACCTCACACATGGAGTTTACTCTCCATATAACCTCACACATGGAGTTTACGGTTGTAAACTCTTGAGTTTACGGCTGTAAACTCCAAGACTTTATGTTCTTGGTTGTTTTGAGGTGTTATTTGATCCCTAGAGGTATTCCAACTTGGTGGTTTAATTCTTGGAAGGGTTTAAGGCATAGAAACACTCCCTTGAGGAGTTTACAACCCTAAGACCATTTCCTTTGGAGTTTACTGCGTAAACTCCCTTGGAATGGGTGTTTTTGATGCTTCAAGTCTCTTGCACACGTGGTATAGGTCTTAGACTTTTATCCCAAGCATATGAAGGCCTTAGGCACACTTTGGTGCCTTTGTTTGATGTTCATGGCCCAAGAACCTTATTAGGGTCATGAACTCACTTTGAGGGTGTTTTGATGTGTTTAAGGTCCTTGATTTAAGTGGGAACAATTCCATGTAAATGTCTAAGGCTTTAGGTGCCTTAAAAGCACCCTTTTGTCCATGATTTTGGAGTTCACGGTCCAAGATATTCTTGGGTCGTGAACACCCAAAACTTGGTGATTCTTTTTTTTCATGTCCCAAATACACCCATATACGAGTCCAAGGTAGTAGCATATCACGGGGGAAAGGCTAGGCTTTGTTTCGGGAGTTTACCGCCCAAGAAAACCTTGGGGAGTAAACTCCTAGATCTAGTGATTTAGCCATCTAAATCATGTTATAAACACATATTAAGCTATCTAACACTACTAGCAAGAGATACTCACATTTTGGGATAAAAACCCGAAGATCCGTGAGAGAGAAAATGGCTTTTCTCTAGTTGGAAATACGAATAATGAATGAATTTGGTTCAGAATTCTATTTATAATCCTTAGATTTTTGGCAGAAAATATTTTATTCCCGAAATGATCTCTAATATAATATAGTGTTGGAATAACAACGTTGCACAAAACCCTAGTGCATCCACTCTCCTGATATTTCCTGAAGTGTAAACTCTAAATTACTCAAACTTATACGGAAAAGTCTGAAAGTTTACTGTGACTGATATAACTTCTATTGAAGTGTTATTGTTTATACAAAATGAAAATTCCGGGTTGTCACATCATCCCCCCGTTAGAAGGAATTTCGTCCCGAAATTATAATTTAAGAAAATAAGAAGTTACAATTAACTAAGAGAAAAGATGAGGGTATTTCAGTTTCATCTGATCCTCTCGTTCCCAAGTGAATTCAGGTACACGCTTTGCGTTCTAGCGAACCTTCACTATCGGGATACGGCTCTGCTTTGTTTGCTTGACCTCTCAGTCCATGATCTCTACTAGTTCCTCCACGAAGTTGAGGCTCTCTTTGATCTCGATCTCATCGAGTTGAATAACAAGAGTCTCGTAGGATAGACACTTTTTTCAAGTTCGAGACGTGGAAGGTAGGATGTACGTTACTGAGTTCTTGCGGTAGATTGACTTTGTAAGCTACACGGCCGATTCTCGCGAGAATCTCGAAAGGCCCTATGTATCTTGGGTTGATCTTACCACGCTTTCCAAAGCGTATTAAGCCCTTCCAGGGTGGGACCTTTAGTAGGACTCGGTCGCCCACCTGGAATTCCAACGGTTTCCTTCGCTTATCAGCGTAGCTTTTCTGTCGGTCTCTAGAGGCTTTCAATCGTTCAGGAATTTGAACAATCTTCTCTGTCATTTCCCGAATGATCACCGGACCCATGAGAGTGCTTTCAGGAACTCGTCCCCTTAGATAACTGGGTATCACCCACCTCAGCCCAGCACAGAGGGGATCTGCACTTTCGGCCATAGAGGGCGTCGAATGGAGCTGCCTTTATGCTCGTGTGATAACTATTGTTATAGGAAAACTTAACGAGGGGTAAATGGGTATCCCAAGATTTTCCAAAGTCAATCACACAGGCACACAACATATCTTCTAAGGTTTGGATAGTTCTCTCACTTTGCCCGTCGGTTTGTGGATGGTAGGGTGTACTCATGTCCAGCTTAGTTCCTAGGGAACTTTGTAATGACCGCCACAACCTCGAAGTGAATATACTATCTCTGTCTGAGATAATAGATAAAGGAACACCGTGCAGCCTTACAATTTCCCTAATGTAAGTTCTTGTAAGTTTCTCCATCTTGTCTGTTTCTTTGATCGGCAGGAAGTGTGCAGACTTGGTCAATCTATCGAAGATGACCCATATGGAATCAACTCCACCCGTCGTCTTGGGCAAGTTGGTTATGAAGTACATAGTGATCCGCTCCCACTTCCATTATGGTATCTCCAGTTACTGTAGGAGGCCGGAGGGTTTCTGGTATTCGAGCTTGACCTTTGCGCAAGTAAGGCATTTACTCACGAAGGTAGCAATATCTACTTTCATGTTAGGCCACCAGTATAACTTTTTAAGATCCAAATACATCTTATCTAAACCCGGGTGGACGGAATAACGAGTGTTGTGAGCTTCCATCATGAACAAGTCTCTGAAGCCACCGTGTTTCGGTGTCCAGATCCGATCCATGAGGTATAAGGCTCCGTCACCCTTGACTTCCAAGTTCTTATCCATCCCTCTAAGGGATTCACCTGCCACGTTTTCAGGTTTCAAAGCGTCAAGCTGAGCCTCCT